GCTTCCGCCGGCGCGCCTGAGCCAGGTTGCTCGGCTCCGCCGGGCGTGCGCGCGTGCGGAGGCCCCCAGGCTCCCGGACCTTCAAGAACTGCTCCGGGCTCCGGCGGGCTGAGCTCGGTAGGTGTCCGCGCGGGTGCAGAGCTGGGTTTTGGGGGTCCATGTCGCCGCTTAGGCGCCGGTCTGCTCTGGCCCCGGCCCAGCTCTCCTCAGGCCCCCGCGCTCTTCCGGTGCTTGAACACAGGTCCCAGGGACGCCGGGTTTGGGGGCGCCCGGCCCCGGGGGTCCTTTCATTCCGAGGAGGACGCGGCCCCCGGGGCGCCCCGTGCCCTCGTGCCCCGCACGTTCGTTCTCTTCCGTCTCGCGGCGGGGGGTTAGGTGTGGCCAGGCCTTCCCTCCCCTCGCGGACCGGCCTCGTCTCACTTCCTCCAGTCGCTTAGCCTTGGGCCAGGCTGGGCCGCCTCCCGCCTCGGCGCTGGCTGCGGGGGGAACCAAAGCCTCGGCACCTTTAAAAAAAAATCTTTGCTTTACGTCGACCTATAGGAATTTGGGCCGCTTGACTCGTTGCCCTTTTTGATCTTTGAACAGCGCAGGCGTTAGGGGCACCGACCCCCCTGGAAAATCCGGTATCACTTTTGACTCCCCCAAAACTTAACGATGGTGGGCCCTCGGCGTCCGGAGAGTCCCAGCCACTGATGGAAAACATATTCACCCGGACGCAGGGCCTTCCTTCCACCTGCTTGTAGGACACGTGTTCACGTTTAGACCGCCTGTCCTGGAATCGAGGCTCTGCCCCCCCCCCCAGCTGCATAAACTGGATAAAAATCCCTTCTTTGTGCTTCCATTTCCTCACCTGTGAAGTGATAAAAGTGCTTAGCTCATTGTGTTGTTAGGGGCATTAATTTAGGACGTAAAGCATAATAGTGCCTGGCAAATGATAGTGATTGTTGTTAGATGCCAGCCAATTTTCTAAGCTTTGGGATGCAGTGGCTCTGCCCTTCTGGTACTTGTGCTTTGGTGGGAAATGTTTATTGATCACTTATTTCGGGTACTCATCCCTAGTTTCATAAGTACTGACGTTGAATGAGTCATGTTCTCAATATATTTGACCATGTTTTTTTATTCCTATGTTTAGTTGTAAATCGAGAGTTGAGAATCTGATGGCATGGCTTTAATTACCTTGCGGAGAAATCTTTGTCATTTTTCTGATTTTCGGATGAATGGAGCTCTGTCTGCTCTGAAAAATCAATCTATAAATCATGTTCACAAGGCTGTCAAGGAGCGTCTGTACCCATGGTTGTTCTGTTCACTACAACCTGGGCCTTTCAGGGTCAGGTTCCATCATGCCTGTTGTAAAAAGTTCCATTCAGAAAATGGAAATGACCTTCATCCCGTGGGTGAGCCAGGGCTACCTCAAGTACATGATTGGGACAGTTTTGAACAAAATCTCAAAAACATGGATGAACAGATATTTTACAGGAGACTGAACAACTTCACTTCATCAGAAGAAGTGCTAAGTTTTATAAGCACACTGCAAACTTTGCCTGATACTATGGCAGCAGGAGCCTTACAACGGATTTGTGAAGTAGGGAAAAAAGATGGTGATCAAAGGCCACCAAAGGAAATCCTAGAGAATCCCATCTTTCAAGCTTTATGTGTTCAGTTTGAACAGGAACCCTCAAGTCTGTCAAACACCAGTTTGGTGACTGCTTTGCAAGCCCTGACTCTGCTGTCTGTGGATCCCCAAAGTAGCTTGTTACTGAACCTGGTGGCAGAATGTCAACATCGTCTCAAAAGGGGTTGCCTGGAAGTCCACAATCTCTGTGTCCTTGCAGAAAGTCTGCTTAAACTACAAGGTCCAGGTTGTGCGACAGTAGACCTGATTATACATCAATTACAAGGTGAAAAGTTGGAAGAATTTACCCCTGAGGATACTGTCGCCCTTTATAGAATACTGCAGACATGTACTGAAAAAGTGGACCAACACCAGACATTTCTAAATAAGATAAACAGCTTTTCTCTGTCTATAGTTTCCAAACTGAGTCCTAAATCAATAAGCCAAATGCTCACTGCCCTAGTGGTTCTTGATCAAACTCAGGCACTTCCTCTGGTTATAAAATTGGGTAAATATGTTGTGAGGCATATCCCTCATTTCACTAATGAAGAGCTCGGAAAAGTCTTAGAAGCTTTCATATACTTTGGGCACCATGACCGATTTTTTATAACAGCCCTGGAGCGGCATGTAGCCTCACTTTGTCTTACTATGGACCCCGAGGCTATCAGCAAGGTCATGGAGTACTGCAGTAGAAAACACATCCTTTCAAAACCCATCCTGAATGCAGTGGCGGAAACTTTTGTTTGCCGTTCAGAAGAATTTTCACCTTGTCAGATATCTGCGTTGATCGAACCATTTGGAAAACTGAATTATTTACCACCAAATGCCCCTGCTTTATTTAGAAAGCTAGAAGATATGTTATTTGCTCAGTTCAATTCTTTTCCTCCCAAAACACTATTGAAACTTCTCCATTCTTGTTCACTTATTGAATGCCATCCAGTCAACTTTATGGCAAAAATATTCAGCCCTCACTTTCTTCAGAAGCTGCAAGGTGAGTTGGTTGTAACTCCTGAGTGGAAAAATTAACCTTTGAACTTAGGGTGTTGTCAAGTCACATATGTACCTTTCACATTGAACAATATTTTGCCTTTTTTCTTCCGTAATTAAAGAAGACATCTGAAGTTGCAGATGGTAGTGTAAATGCAGAGTTAAAGCATGCTAGAACATTGCATCCAGGGAGAAACAGGTTCTGGTAAACACTGCTGCCCTAGCGGAGAAACGGTATTCTTAGGGGGCTGTGGTGACAGCAATGGTAACAGTCACAATAACATGTTACAGTTTCTCTGAGCGAGAACTAGTATCTTAATTGAAGGCCACCAAATATGTCAAAAATCTCAGTTTCCAAGAAGTTTCCGCTAATTCAGCTAACATTTTGTTCCTCATAATTATATATTCTCTAGTTAGGAGCTTCAGTTCTTAGAAGTTAAAATGAGATTGTATTGATGGCAAGCAAGAAGGCATAGTTAATTCTAGCATGTTCTTTTCATAGTGTCATTTAAGAGTACCTTATTGGAGTGAATAAATGAATGTTGTATATTCTTAATATTCTTTTCTCATTACGTATATCAAAATTCAAATTTAACTATGACTGGCATGCTTATTATTTCAGGTGAGGAATCATATTTGGACAGACTGAGTCTAGCACAACTGACCCAGCTTTTCTTAACCTCGATTCTAGAATGCCCTTTCTATAAGGTAAAAGCATGAGCTATGTGCTTTATTTCTCTGTGGGGGCAGTTTTCTTTTGTTCCCTCTCCCCAGCCACCTAACTTTTTTTCCAGTTCCTTCTCTATTGATTTATCTTAACCTCATTAAAACAGAACTTTCATTCACTTGAAGTTAGTGGCCACCAGATAGCCTTTTCTTTGATAAATTGGCTCCACTCCTATTTTCTTGTCCTTGAAGGACCCATTTCCTGGTGTGTAAGATTTCTTGGAAGGCTTTATCAAGTGCTGCAAAGTTTGACTCATAATACTTGAAGAACCATGCTGAGGGTGTTAGCCCTGTAGCTCTTGGGTATGACAGTTTGACTCTGGACTGAACACATCCTAAATCATCCCAAGTACAGTTTTAAGCAAAGGCTCTCATCTGATGGGGTTCCGTGAAGGTGGAGTTTGTGCGTCCCATAAGTACTCTGCAGATTCATTCTCACGATGCTTTCGCACACCTGGTGTAAAATCAGAAGCAGCATCTCCAGATGTGCTCATCCCTGCCTGACCCTTTGTACGTGGCTGAACCACATTTAAGAGTAGCTCGTTTGGGAATAAGGTATAAGAATGGAAAGATACCACTATTAGTACTGAGCACACAAATAATATTACCCCCAACCTCTTTCCATCCCTGAAGGAGAACTGTGTTAATGGCAGTTTTTATGTCCAAATGTACACAAGTTCATAAATACTATTCACTTTCTCTCTTTTCATGGAATGGGACAAAGTACAGTTTGCTTTTATGCCCAGTACGTTATGGACATTCTTCAGTGCAATACTTAAAGACCAAACACATTCTTTTTAAGAATGGCACCGTAGTCCCTGATATTGATCCTACATTCCACCACAGATGGACTTCCCGGTTTTTTCCAATGTTCATTGCTATCACCAGTGATGTAATAAACATCCTTGTATATCCTTTCATACTGGAGCCTTTGTGCTTTTTTAATCTAGAGAGTAGATTCATAAAGGTGGAATTACTGGATTAATTTTAATAAGTACTGATAGATTATTTTCCCTGATAGTTGTGGATGTCCCATTTCCCCAGCAATGAATGGAGGTGGCCACATCTCCCCCACTTCTATTTCAGTATGACATTAGTCCCTTTAATTTTTCATTCCACTCTAAAAAAAAGTATGTCATATGTTTAAGCTATTTTAATAAGCAATAATGAAGTTGAGCATAATTTCAAATGTTTTTTGGTCACTTACATTTGCTGTGAATTGTCTTTTTACTCCCTAACTCATATTTCTATTGGCTTGTTTATCTTTTTTCCTCTAGAACTCATTGTAAAACAGATTTTAGCTATTCTGCATGTTGCATATATTTCCTTCTGGTTCTTAGTGTTGTTGTTTTTTTTATCTTTATTGATTTCAGAGAGAGGAAGGGAGAGGGAGAGAGAGAGAGATAGAAACATCAATGAGAGAGTCATTGATCGAGCCCGCAACCCGGGCATGTGCCCTGACCGGGAATTGAACTGTGATCTCCTGGATCTTAGGTCAATGCTCAACCGCTGAGCCACGCCCGGCCGGGCTGGTTCTTAGTTTTTAATTTTTTAGTTTAACTTAATGTTTATGATGCCTTTCTACTATACTGAAATTGTTAAGCTTTCTGTAGTCAAATATATCCATCTTTTATGGCTCCTAGGCTTCCTGTGTTGCTTAAGAACATTTTACCACTCCTGAGCTAATATTAAATGTTTTACTAAATTTTTTTATCTGGTTGGTTTTATATCTTACTGTTCTTTCTCATATTTGCACATACAACTTGTAGGGTCCAAAACTTCTTCCTAAGTATCAAGTGAAATCATTTCTTACTCCGTGCTGCTCCCTGGAGACACCCATGGATTTTCAGCTTTATAAGTCTGTGATGTTTGGACTGATCGACCTTTTAGGAGCAAGATTGTATTTTGCTTCAAAAGTATTAACACCCTATTACTACACAATAGGTGAGTAATAGGGAGTTTTGTTGTTGTTTACTAAACCTCAGCCTGTGTTCTCATTTGGAATAGTTGGGACTTAGTTGCCGTAGAACATCTGGAAATACAAAATGGACTTGGCCCTTCCCTAAGGGGGAGTGGAACAGGGGTGCAGTAGGGCTTCGAGTCCAGACTGTCTGGGGTTGAGGCCCCATGTGTTAGCCATGTAGTAGCAGAATGTCTTTGGGCAGAGTTTTTAAGCTTTTCTATTTGCTTCTTTCTGTAAAATGAGAGAGTAGTGAACTCAAGGACCCATGTAAGGACTATATGAAATAATTTGGAGTAATACCTGGAGCACAGTGAGTGCTCAGTAATTGTTAGCTGCTGTTGTACTCTAGGCCAGTGCCGTCCAGTAGAGTAGCCACTAGTACCTGTGGCTGTTCACATTGAAAATAATTAAAACTTAAAAAAATTCAAAGTTCAGTTCCTGGGTCGCATTAGCCACACATCCAGTTGTTCAGTAGCCACATGTCGCTCACGCTGCAGTACTGGACAGTGGAGGTATAAACATTTCCGTCATCATGAAAGTTGTTGGACAGCACTGACTAGAGAGTCCAAGTCTTCTGCCCTTACAATTTTTAAAGATTAATGGTAAAAGAAAATCAACTCAAAGAGGACAGTGTTTTATAGACTCCAGGTGGCCACCTTTCACTCCCTTCTGATATGGGCTCCTCTTACAAAGAGGATGACAGAGCATCAGAGGGAAGGAAAGAGTCTGAGTCTGTCCACGCTCTAGGACCACATGCTGGGGAACAGAAAGCTTTACCTACCCCAGTGGCTCTGGGAGCGCCAGTGATGAAAGGCTCAGTGTGTGTAGGTGCCTAGCGTTGCTTAATTTAAAGGATTTTCTTCACTCTGGATTGAAGGATTCAGTTGTGTGTGTATATATACACGGCTCTTATTATACCCCAGACAGCCTGAGAACCCACTCCTTGTCTTTGTATAGTTGAGCCTTCTTAGTTTAAGGCTGACTTGGTTGATTATAGACTGGTTAAGTTACAATTCTCACCATTGTCTGGTGTGGTCATTACTTTGCAGCCTTCAGCCAGTTGGTAAATGCAGTGTGGAAGGATTCACAGAACCAGAAGGCAAGGAAGATAGTGTTTGCGAGGGTATCACACGGAGAATTTTTCCTTTCTTCTCTCACCAGATGTCGAAATCAAATTAGATGAAGAAGGATTTGTATTACCATTTAAAGTTGATGAAGACATACATAAAAGGTAAAGAAAACTTGTAGTTAATGTTACAAGACTGTTGAGGTTAATAAACAATGATTATTTTCTTAAGAAAATAAAAATACATTTTGAAAATTTAAACACTGCTTTGCAGCATACCCGTTTTGGAAATGACTTGTAGCATTTCATGAGCCTCAATATTAATAAAATTGAGTGCTTTCTCAGCAAAGGATAACACGTCCATTGTTCCCTGGAAAATAGTATAAGCAAATCCCAAATAAACCCTTCTGGCTAGAATTATATAAATATTTGGGGTGGTTTGAAAAATTGACATTGTCTCTCTGATTTTTCAGGGTAGCGCTGTGCATTGATGGTCCAAAAAGATTTTGTTTGAATAGCAAACATTTACTGGGGAAGGAAGCTATTAAACAAAGACACCTACGCTTGCTTGGCTATGACGTGGTTCAGGTCTGTTTTCATCTCTTTTCTTCCCAAAACAATTTCTAGCTCAGATTCACTTTTTCCAGGGTACTAAGTGGTCTGCCAGCCCAAAGGACCGAGAATCTTATTTATTTTAAAGTCAAGAACATTTTTTTATTTTACTGAATTTATTGGGGTGTCATTGGTTAATAAAATTATAGGTTTCAAATGTGCAATTCTATAATATATCATCTCTATATTTTGTGTGTTCAATTATAAAATTATTGGAATATCTGTTTTAATTTCTACCTGATTTAATGAGTAAAAATGGACAGGAGAGCTCATTAAAACCACTTAATGTTTAAGGCCTTATGTTTATGTCATAAATCATGTCAGAAGGTCTCACGTGAGGAGTCACAGTGGTGGACCTGGAGTGTCCCCAAGTTCTCTGAGCTGTCCCCCAGTCTGCTCTCTGCTTTCCTGTCTGGTTACTCTTTTCCACTCCATTTTGTACATCCTCAGATTAATTTTCCTAAAACTAGTTGTTCCAGTGTGTTCAGAGCCTTTACTGTTTATTGCTTACAGGATAAAGTCAAAGCTCCTGGATGTCTCAACATCCCAGGCCCCCCGTAGCCCACTGGCAGCCAGGCCCTCTGCTCTGAGCTCGGGGGTAGCTTCCCTTTCCCCTAATCTCCCTCCATCTCTCTGGCCTTTCTCACTTTGTCCAGCTGCTCCCACCACCACACTGGTCTCCCACTCTTGAGTATCTGATTGTGGTCATTCATCACTCCCAGGTGAAGTTCACCTTTCACCCTAATCTGACAATACCAGAGCCCCAATTTTTTTCTTTGCATGCTCTGCCTTATTTTTACTGAGCCCCTACTCTGCGCCACGTGCTGTCGTGGGCAATGGGGCTACAGGATGAATAAGTTAGTGTGAGCTTTGCCCTCCAGGAGCTTACATACTGCTGCTCACGAGGGCATGAGATACAAATAACCAAAAAACCAGGGGAGTTTCAGATTGCGAAGGATTATGACAAATTTTATTTCCCCCCCTTTACAGATCCCCTATTATGAGATTGAAACACTAAAATCAAGACTTAAATTGGTGGAATATCTACAGAGGAAACTTTTTTCTCAAAACACTGGCATTCATTGGTGACAAGAAGAAATACTGGCTTCAGAACTCATATTGTGAAGGAACTTCTGTTTCCATGGGACTCAGTATAAGAAAAAAATGTACTGTAATTTGTGAAATAGCCCTTTCCTTATGGACTGGTGATCTGGAAAGGGTCTGTAGTTTACTTATACCATGTATACAATTGGTGATAAATTTAAAATTAATTTTTATTTTTATTAATAGTATTATACTTTTATACAATAAAGTCAAATATAATAAAAGTATGTAATGAGTAAGTTATTGTTGAATCTTTTGTCTTGTAATAGTTACCTGCTAACTGAAAATAATGCTCTTTAGAGTCTTACCTTTGTTTCCTCTTCTAATAAACGTAAGGAAGAAATTTTATCTCCCATGTCCTTCTGTATTTTCTTAGAGGAATATATGGTAAGGAGAGTGAGTGGGAAAAACAGACTAGTGTCCTTTGTACATAAACATAATTGTAGAATTATGCAGAAGTAACCCTTTAGTTAATAAGAAAATGCATTAGTATGTGAGCTTTTATCTTCTTTTAAATAAAAGTGTAAAGACATGAAAAAACATACTAGGGTTAAGTAAAGCGTGGGGGAGGAGGCAGGCTTCCTAACAGCTCTGGAGCTGGACACTGAGGTTCTTACACCAGTTAGTTCTGTGATCCTGAGCAAGGGGACGATCACTCTGTTGCTCACTGTGCTGAGCCTGTGCTGGGCACTTGCGCATAATGCTTGTGTGAGTCTCAGGGCCGTCTGATTGAGGCGCGCTCCCCTTTCTCAGGAGTGGGCCAGTTCAGAGGATGACTGTCCAGCTTGGCGTTGCAGGCCTCACAAGTGGTGAATGAGATTTAAAGCTGATCTTGAGAAGCAACAGACTTTAGTTAATGGCTAAGAATCCAGCCTGGTTTGAGTCCCAGCTTCACCACTTGCTAGCGGAGTGACCTTGGGCCCATTTCCTCAGGGTACTCAAATACTAAGGGGGTTGTGAATACTTTCCGGGGACTGCTGCAGCAAAGGACCACAAACTGAATGGCTTGAAACAACCCAAATTTATTTTCTCACAGTTTGGGGGACTAGAAATCCGTAATCAAGGTGTCTACAGGGCCACGTGCCCTCTGAAGGCTCTAGAGGGGATCCTTCCTGCCTCTGGCAGCTTTGGTAGCCCCAGGGGTTCCTTGGTCTGTGGCAGTATCACTCCAATTTCTGCCTCCATGTTCACATGCCCTCTTCCCTTTGTGTCTGTCTGTGTCTTACCAGCCATGTGGGATTAGAACCCACCCTAATGACCTCATTGTACCTTGATTAAATCTGCACAGACCCTATGTCCAAATAAGGTCACATTCACAGGTGCTAGGAGTTGGGACTTCAGTATAGCTGGG